CGGTGTCGGAAGTGCTGTTGTGACACTTCCTGTGTCTCGGTTTGATGATTCTCACTAGTGTCTGTGCTTGGAGTCCTGGGTCTTTCGGTAAGCTCCTTGATTTCTTGTAGTAGTTTAGCTTCTTTGTTTTTGAAGTCTAATAGTTCGTTTTGAGCTTCTTTGTATTGTTTCTCTATTCGTTCTTTTTCATTCTTCAAATAGTGATTATCTTCCATGAGTTCCAAATTTTTCTTGATGATTTGCTCCCACTTGGCATTTAGTTGAGTGTATGCCTCTAGTAACTCTTGCATGTCATCGCTATTGTTGCTTTCATGGCTAGCGGTGAAGGCTACGAAATTTGTGTTGCTGTCATCTTCTTCACTATCTGAGTCATCGCTTAGGGTTGTTATATATGTTTTATTTTTCCTTTTCAAGTATGTGGCACATTCTGATTGGATGTGTCCAAAACCTTTGCATTCATAGCACTGTATTCCTTCTGTATTTGAACTGTCTCTTCTTTTTGAAATAGATTGATTTTGTCCAGTTGGAAAGTCCCCTTGATTGATTGAAGCACTTTTGTTTCTAAATTTGTTGAATTGTTTGAGAACTCTGTTGAAATTCTTTGTTAGGAGAGCGATTGATTGTTCTATGGTTTCAGTATCAATTTCTGGACTTCCTTTCTGCTTTGATTGGAACGCAATTCCTTTGTCATTATTTTTCCCTTTTTGCAGTATCTCAAGCTCATATGTTTGAAGGTTTCCCATTAGATCACTCAGTTTGTAGGTGTTTAGATCTTTATGTTCTTGAATAGCGGTGACTTTCATTTGGAATCTTCCAGGTAGTGAGCGTAGTACCTTTTTGACGATCCTATGTTCGGGTATAGGTTCGCCTAAGTTGAATGCATCTCCGGATATACTTAAAACTCTGGCACTGAATTGGGTGATGCTTTCTTCCTCTTCCATTTTCAGGTTTTCAAATTCAGTTTGTATCATCTGAAGCTTAGATTGTCTTACAGTTGTGTTTCCCTCATGATGATCGCACAATATACTCCACGCAATTTTGGCTATGCGAGTGGAGGCAATCAGTTTGAAGGTATCTTCGCTCACAGCTCCATAGATTGCATTCATTGCCTTCGAGTTGAAGTTATATTCTGTTTTTTCTTCTTCACTCCAGTCAATTTTAAGTTTTATGTTTCCTTTATCATCAACTGGAGTTTTCCATTCGTTTTCTATAGCATTCCAGACACCTTCTCCTTGTGCCAAGATGTATATTTGCATTCTGGCTTTCCAGTAGGAAAAATTCGTGCTAATGAGGGCAGGTGGCCTAGTGTTTGACAGTCCTTCTCTGGGAAACTCCATTAGGATCCTGCTAATAACTTAAGCAGTTTGGCTCTGATACCAATTGAAATTTATATAAGCGCAGCACACAATGATGTTGAAACTGACGTTGTAACACAAACGATCTGTAACGCAGTTCGGGCAAACAACCCTAATCTGCGAGGCACTTCTCAATTTGAGAACTTGCCTAAATCCACTAAAAGCTCAATATTTAAAGTACACTGTTTGGAACCTGAGATTACACAATAGAATGATCTTTCCTACCAAACTATTGAAACCTAAACACATGTACTACTTTCTAGGGGAATTTAGTATCCTATTCTCAAAGACTCTCGTACCTCACAAGATTAATGTTGAATGCTTGAGTTTTACAAGAAGGAACAACCCCTATTTATAGTAGCTATTCCTAACAGATTCGTGAATAATAAAGCTATTCCTAATCAGACTAGAACTAAATACTTCAATAACAATTCCCTTTAGAACTAGTACTCTTCAATAACTACTCCTCTTAGGCTTGGTATTCCTTTATAGATCTGGTATTCCTTTTGCACATAACTTTGACAAAACACTTTGAGTCAACAAGTGACATTAGGTACTTCTCTAAACGGGAGTGAATTTGATCTTGAACTCATCGAATAGACAAAGTTTGAACTTAACGCACTTAATTTGCTTTGGTCGCTTTAAAATATGTGAGGTCATACTCTTGACCCTGAGATATCCCCTGTTAGGTCTATTCTAGGATAGACCTTCAACTCTATCAAGTCTATCTCAACGCAGACCACCATGACTGGCTACAGAGTATCTATGGGCACCACGAGCACTTTGTACTCATGTCATTATGCGGCGAATTCATTAGGTTTGTCTCAACAAAACCACCCTTTCTCAAAGAGTTATGAATTCATTAAGAGCTGTAGCTCAACCTCACATGCGGTGAATTCATTAAGTTTGTCTCAACAAAACCACCCTTTCTCAAAGAGTTATGAATTCATTAAGAGCTGTAGCTCAACCTCACAGGTACACACACTGTCGGAATGACCAACTAGTGTACTATTTTGTAACTCTTTTCATGGTTTCGTTTGACCACAGAAGTGGGATCCACCACGAATTCATTACCACTTGGACTTTAAGTCCTTCCAATGAGTCAACGACTAATCCTCATAATTAGCCCTCAAGTAAGTTGATTCTCTTGACCAAACTTACATGCACTTTGACGAGTACTTCGTTTACTCGTAAATAATCCCTTGAGATTTTCATGTTTAACATGAAACATTCTCTTTCATCATTATTCTCGATCAATACTACAGAGAAACTTTTGATGAAAATATAAGGAGTTTATTACCCCCACAATGCAACACTTACAAATATTTTTGTCAAACGTATTTGATCTCTTACTCAGACTGATCTTTGGTTCCCAACTTTAGCTCCTTTGTAGACTGAGTTTTGCCGATTTGCTTTGTGGAGCATTATAGAAGCTTCGCACTCTGCCTGATACATGCTCAACAGTTGAATATATTTCAACCAACTTGGTTATTTCAATTGATCACAATTACCCTTTAACTAGGAATTATAGGTATTTCAATATGACTCAACCAAGAGTTTAAATAATATATATACAAATGCTCATTGTTAGTAAGCCATAGAAATAATGTTGTCCACATGCTACATCAAGTTGAACAACATAATCACAAATTTCACATCATATTCTTATAAGAAATTAATCTCATACAAAAGGAATATGTTTGAGCTCATATTTATTCGGAATATCTCTCAACAATGAGACTTCAGAGTTGCCACTAGCACAATTTTCCTTCCCTTAAGGAATTTAAAACTCATATAAAGCATTTATAGGATGCAGATGAATATTACTATTGCAGTACTTCAACAACTTCTATTGCAAGGCTTTGATTGTATTAGCAACATATGAAAGTCATCCTCATTTCAGGTAAAGATCAAGTGGCGCTCTAACTAGCCTGCATGATCAACACCCTACCTCTTAAAACTCCCAGGTCGAGTGGTGAAACCGAAGTTTACTTAAAAACCATCTTCCTAGACAGAGTGTTCAAGAATAATGACTTTTCCATGTTCTCACTAAATTACAATTGAAGCCTATGATATATGCTCTTAATTTTATACAAATAATTTTAGTAAAAAGTTTGAGCAATATCTATGCACGAATTATTTCAATCAATGTCATTAGTATTCAAAATACTAAAGAAATAAGTACTACTAAGTAATCAAAATCTAGACAGCTCAACTAGAATTCAGTACTAAGATAACCATACTTCATGCGAACCCTTAGAACTAGAGCAAATATAGTTACTCAAAATAACTATTTATTTAAAGAGACTCAATACTCATCTTGCTCTGTCAGATTGACTTTTGTTAGTTTTGCCCTTCTGATGGTAGCACTGGTGTGCTCGGTGTCCTTGCTTTTTGCATGTAAAACACCTTCCTTTGAACTTCTTGATTTTTCTACTCCTTTTGTTGTAGACAGTTCTGACACTTTGATTTTCAGTTTCATTGGAACCGTACTTTTCTGACAATGATTCCCAAATGACTTTTGCCGAATCTTGTTTGACATAGACGTCGAACAAATCGTCATTCATTTGTGACAGCAGGTATCCTCTGACTGCCGCATTGTCATTTCTAAATTGAATCAGATTTACACCCGGTTCTTGACCCAGAATGTAATCTATTTCAGGACTGCTTTCTCTCGATTCTTCACCCGGAGTGTAATCAGGTTCATGATTACATTTTGTAGCACAAAACGGAGATAACACTGTTGGAGTAGGTTCAGGTGCAACTGAATATAGCACGTAAACCAACTTTAATTGTTCGAAAAGAATAAGCATTCTTTTAGCCCACCTATTGTAATTTTTCCCATCAAGGGCGGTGATTTTTGATAGATCCGGTATGACAGTAGGTGCCATAATGCTGAAGGTTGACTGTTGCAGAATAACGCTTTTAACTGTTGGGGAAAATAGCAACGTCAACGCACGATCTGGAAGCCTTTTAAGAAGCACGGACACTATTGGTGTATGGTTGAAAGGAAATCTGTGCCGTGTTACAATAACACTACCTTAAAAGCGTTATTTGCCGGTAACGGTGCAGTTAGAATCCTGGCACGCTTTCGACAGGCTACACAGACCTACTACGGACAGCTTGCACTAGCAATCACGTAGGCGAACCTCACTATTGCTCAGGCCTTAACCGATAGACACGAATTATATATATTATATTATAATATATATTAATTCTTGTATAGAAAGAAGGAAGAAGCTTTTTTCCTGCCTTTAGACAAGATTTCCTTGCTTGTTTATATAGTGTGTAGGAAGGTGAAGACACCTTTTGTCCCAACCACACAATAGCTACAAGCAAGGGAAGTGGTAATGACAAAAGGTCATTTAGCCACATCATGTACACAAATGACGGAAGTCATTTGTTGGCTCCCCAATAATTAAGGCCGATTGTTTGAATGGATTATATCCAACAGTTTTAAAGATGTACATTCGTGTTGATTTTGTTTGTGCTCAATTTGTGAAAATATTCATTAATGCACACAAATTTGTGTGTGTGTGTGTGTGTGTGTGTGTGTGTGTGTGTGTGTGTGTGCGTGCATGTTTGTTGGACATGACCCATATAGTTTTAATTGTGTGCTTACATGAAATTAAATAAATTGAAGAAGGCAACTACCATGTAGTGTGATGACATCCCGATTATCATTCCAAATGGATGGTCATAGGTTTGAACCCTGGTGGTGGGGACTTAGATTCTTTGGGCTTCTTTGGGTTGAAAATGTTTGAGAAAGTATAGCATAGAACAGATACTACCTTGGAGAAAAAAGAGGATGTACACATATGTGATTATTTTGTTATGTAGAAAAATAAGCTTATTTTGTTGTTGACTTACATATTTTTATGAAAGTTTAGAATTTTGCTTGGACAGATTTTCCCTTTTAAGTGATTTTATGGGAAATTTCTATTACTTATTAGGTGCATGAATTTAGGATATTGACGTTTAATCATAGTCATTGATATCTTAATTTATATGGTTTAGATATATTTTGATATTCTCGTGTGGGGAAGGGTTCTCATATGATCAAATGAGTTTCATCTTCTATCTGAAAAATTGTAGACTAATCCTGGCAATTCATTTTGTATTTTTTTATGGATGTGATTTACTGTTGCACACATGACGACACAGATTCCTTTGTGTTTTTAAGAAGTGGTCGTAGGGTTATTTTGTGTATTTTTGTAACTGCATGTTGGGGGTATACGTATGTTGCATGCGTGATTGAAAGTGTGTTTCCTATTTTATTGTTTGGTTTTCTGCTGCAAGATTGGAGGTGTTATTTCGTCGTCTTTGATCCCGTGTTCATCCATGGAAAGTGGCAAGGTTTTTTTTTTTTCCTTTTTTAAATTTTAAGTATAATATTGCATGTATTTGGATGTCAATGTATGTGTGTGCATTTTGGGTGGTACTATTGTGTAATCGGCTGTGTTGATTGTGCAATCCATTGTTGTGAGTTGTGCAGTGTATTTCGATTCATTTGTTCGCATTTGTCTATGGTTTTTTGGCGATTCTTCATATGATCAGAACTTTGAGTTTGATTGTTGGTAGGGCTCTACTGTAAGTTTGAGTTTGGGTGATGGTAGGTCGCAAATGGCAAGTTGCACAAGGTTCGATTGTTGCGCAACTCGTTGTTGTGGGTTGTACAACGTATTTAAATTTCATTTGCTCGCCTATTTCTATGGTTTTTCGGTGACACTGTGTTTAATCAAAACATATATTGAGTTTGGATATTGGTAGTGGTTTTATGTAGGTTTGAGTTTCAGAGATAGTGGATCACAAATGGCAAGTTGCACATGGTTTTCTTGTGTGGGTTAGTTATTGGAAGCATCATTTACTGATTTACCCTTATTTGAAGGTTTAGTTGTGCACGTGCTCCTCAATTAACGGGATGCAGCTGTATTTTTTCTTTCAAATCTAGCCATTGATCATTTAAAATCTTTGGTCTTAATCAGCCCACAATTCTTACATGGGGTTTGGTTCTCATAGGAGTCAATAAAAAATAACTTCTTGTTAGTTTTAAATGTTAGAGATATTATGCAGGTTGTGCAACTTCCGCAACATCTTTCTCTCTCTTCATGTGTCATCGCTTTTGACATTCTTTTTTTTTTTCTATCTCCGTTATTGTCACTATTTGAATCGTTAAATGTAAAGTCAAAATATTAATATAATGTATATGAAATTTCTATTTTGATATTACATTTAACTGTCAAAGGAAATGTAATAACAAAGAGGAGAAATAGCCACATTTGAAACAATTGAGAGGATAATGTACATATACAAATAATTCAAATATCAAGTTAACTATTAGCATATCATTTGAGGGAAATCTCAATTTTCCCTTTATATGTTTATGTTGTACTTACCAATATTTCAACGCCCCATTTAAAATATTTATAGTAATTTGCATTATGAAATTTTCCTGAAATTTTATATTAAAAAATAAAGGTATTTTTATTTACAAACAATTACTAAAATAATTACAATAAAGAATTCTGATATATTACAAATAGATAATTTTGTCATCCTTAAGACACATAAAATTAAGACGAATTGAGTACTATTTCTTCAATCATAGTCTACATGATTAATACAATATTTTCTGCATAAAGTTTCAACCTAGTTTTATCTGAATAAACTCTACAATTTCATCCACAAATTAAAATAACTAATATTATTTTTTGCATACGTCATCCAGTATTCCATCACTGTAAGACTATTTCAATTTTTTCCTAAACTACGCCCATAAAGTTCTTGATTTATATAAAAGTTTATCTTTGCAACTCTAAGATGCGCTCTGTGCAGTGTTAAGTTTGTCTTGTGACCCTAGTCGGCAAAAGACTACAAAGATGTAAACAAACGTAAGTTGTCCATATAGCTGATCAAGTCAAATCGAGAAGGTAAATAAGTAGCTCTCACATATGATCAAATTTAAAATTTATAGTTACAAGTCAATTGTTTAACTAATTCCGCTCAGGTTAGAATCGGTAAAGTTTAACGCTTACTCAAGAAAATGTAGGACTCGAAATCAATATTATAATTTTCAATGTAAGTAAAATATTGTGGATGAACGGCTCAATGATTGTATACTTGTAGTATACAAACTATCGTTTGTGTACTTCAGGAATACCGTTGAGCTACATGATGAAATTAAGGTGGTTAAGCCGTAATTAGTATAACAACTTACAACTACTTCTAGTTATTATAAATAAATCTCTGCTAATTTCAAATTAGAAAAAAAAATAGCCCACACGAGTTTAGCTCAATGGTTCAGTACGTAGGTCAACAGTATTTAAAAGAAGAGGTCAAGGTTCGAACATCGGCAGCGGCAGTGTGCGGAATTATGTCTAGGGACGGAGCTAAAGGGAGGCAGCAGCCCCCCATCCCATATATAACTTTTGTATGTATATATGTATATATAGTATATGTTTTAATATTAGTATAAAAAACCTGTTGAATGTTAATAAGAAATAAGTTAGATTAGTTGGCAGAGCACATATTTAGCTATAGTAAAGGTTTAGGGCTTCAAATTCTTTGACATCAACATATAAACAATTTCTAAATCCTTCCATCCCTAATTATGTCCCAGGCATTTAGCATGTCTGCTTAAGCCATTAAACCATGTTAGGTCGGAGTGTAAAAAACTTGTGGGTGAAGAAGGAACAACAAGAACATGATTACATGAAACCTAAGCCGTTATGTTTCGGATACGTACGGTTGCGTACTTGCGTCAACGTAAGCCGTTATGTTTGGGATACGTACGGCTGAGTCTAAAAATCAAACAGCCATAAATAATCTTTATTATAAAGATAAATGGTATGATATAACTTCATCGTAAGGAATAATACAATATAATATTAATGTATGTAATTTACGATCTACTCTACTAAAACTTTGATTTCAAATTCAAATTTCGAAAGGCAATAGGCATAAAGTGTCGCTCCAAATGTGCAAAATATCATTACTCAATTACTCCGTATACATTTGTTCAGCACATTCTAATACCAAATTTATAATGTTTGTAAACGAGTTCAATTTTTGTTCACTTATAATAATGGAGTAAAGGACATTTTTGATCCTAGATTTATAGTGGCACGGACAATTTTAGTCCTCTTTAAAAAAAATCAGACAATTTATGGACACTCTTATTGTAACGAAAATTTTGGTCCTCCGTCAATATTTCCGTTAGATGCCCCGTTTGAACAGGGATAATTGCGTCTTTTCAACAACAGACCCATTTTCTCTCTGTTTCTCTCTATTCACGAAAACAACAACAACAATGGCAGCCACAATACCACTCATCCTCAACCCTCTTCTTCTTTGCCAACAACAAACAAGTTTAATCCACCAACAACCCCCATCTCATCCTCTTTTCCTCTCTCTCTCTCTCTCTCTCTCTCTCTCTCTCTCTCTCTCTCTCTCTCAATGGCAAATCGACAGTAGCACAGCTCACCAACAGTTGCAACTCTCCACCGGCGGCATCCTCTGGTTTTCCGGCGAAGCGGCGACAAAGTGCGGTAGTGGCAACGAGAGAAGTCCCTCTAGCAGCGACGAGCTCCGCTTCCCCTCTCTTTCTCTTCTTCTCGTCGACGGCGACAACGACGGTCTTCCTCGACGAGCTCCGGCGACCTTTGGTCCTTTCCAGCGTGTAGCAAACATGGGGCGCTCCAGATCCGGCAATGACGACCTTTGTTTCCGACAGTGGCATGCTAGTTCAAATTTTTAGGCTAAAATCACCCCAAAGCTCCCGTCGCCGCCGCCGTTGATTGCCCAGAACAGATCCTCTCCCATGGAGTTCACGGTCAGCTTCAACGTGCGAAAAATCCCAGATCCAAGCAGATGCGTTTCAAATCCCAAATCCGAACAGCTCTGAGCCTTCGCCGCTGCCGCCACCCCTCTCGTCCGCTCGCCCGCCTCCTCCACCCAAAAAACTTGGCCACAATCAAAACCCTAGCTTGTTAATTTTCTTTGCGATAGCTGTGAAGTCTCATATCGATGTGAATTTGTGGAAGAAAATTGGATTGAGTTTGGAGAAGAAACGAACAAGAAGGGTTTGTTTGGGGAAGAAATCTAATCGGAAGTTAAACCCCTACCAAAACAAAGGAAATTGAAGGGTGAGTTCGTTGAGATCTCTAATTCTATGATGGATTTTTTTTTCCGTTTGGTCAGTAGTCAGTAATCAGTAAGAGGGAAGGAAGAAGGAAGGAGGAAGGAGGAAGGAGGTCTAAAAAGACGAAATTACCCCCTATCTAACAGGCCATCTAACGAGAATATTGACGGAGGACCAAAATTGTCCTCGTCACAATAAAAGTGTCCACAAATTGTCTGATTTTTTTAAAGAGGACTAAAATTGTCCGTGCCACTATAAGTCTAGGACCAAAAATGTCTTTTACTCTTTTTGTTTGCATCTGGGGGAGTTGGGTTTAGGGTTTTGGCAAGTGGATGCATGTGTGCCTTTACATTCGGAGTTGGAGTTGCAACGAGGTTTATGTCAGAACTTAAGGTTCACCGTTCATGGCAAAAGTTTAGATTATTTAAGGAATAATGGTCAAATAAGCCTTCCAATTATATACCAAAAGACAATTAGACATGTTGAAAATTTTTAACAAAAAATAACATTTTAAGTGATTATTGTTGGCTAATAAGTTGGAAAACCCAAAAATAATAATCTTACGAAAAGATTATTATTATATGGAAAATATAAGCTAATATTTGGGAAGGAAAGGTGGATGATTCGGTTAGTGGTTTGGAGTCGGGTTTTTAGCACGAGTTAAACAAAGCGTTATTTTCCTTAAAACCTTATTTGCTACCCCCCACAAGTGTTAGGAGCGTTGCCGCCTAGGTTTCCCAGGATAAAACGTGCTACAGTTCAGCGTTTGAGCACCCAAACTTTGAACCCGGCGAACTAGAGCAAAGCTTAGAACACAGTAGGCTAAAAGAGGAGTAGAAGCACAGTTCCGCTCGGCATAACATTGCTCGCAAGGCCTACCAATTTCCGGACAACATTCATGTCCGCGTACACGAGTTTAGGCTAGGACCAAGCCAGCTTAGAACACAGTAGGCTAAAAGAGGAGTAGAAGCACAGGAGTACAGTTCCGCTCGGCATAACATTACTCGTAAGGCCTACCAATTTCCGAACAACATTTGTGTCCGCATACACGAGTTTAGGCTAGGACCAAGCTTTTTTAGTCTCAATTAGCACCCCCACTACGCACAAGAGAGAGTCTCTATGCTATACAATTCATTTCAATAAGCCTTAAAAGAACTCTTGTATAAAT